ACCCCCTCTGGAAACTCGATTTTTAACAATAATAATAACAATAATAATAATAATAATAATAATAATTACAGTTCTTAAAACCCATTAAACATGATTCTCGATGATTTTACATAAGATTTGAAGTAATTAAAAAAATAAGATAAAGATTAACTACAAATTATAAGCGATTTTAAAAAGGTAAGTCTTGAGCCTGGTTTGAAGGAATCTAATTAAGGTTGCGGAATATCGTATAAAATCAGGAGGTTTGTTCCAAAGCATAGGGGATGCACACGCAAAGGATCTGTCGCCAAAATACCTAACAACTTCTTAAATTTGAAACAGAAATTTATAAACGGTTTTCTATTTCCACGCCTTTTTGTTTTTTTATCTGTTCCATTGGAGTTTATCCATACCATTATCATTATATTAAGTTCCAAGCATTTGTATAATCCCTATAGGTGATAACTTTAAATTGTTATTGAGATAATATGGCTAATAGTGAATCACTGACCTAAATTGGTTGGACATTTCTCTGTAGTGACGACGGATGAATCCCATGCATCGAAAACTGTTCCAGTCAAGAAATTCCCCCCAACTACTACGGCGAGTAACTTAAAACATACATACATACATACATACATACATACATACATACATACATACATACATACATACATACATACACTTTATTGATGCTCCCTAAGTGGGCTTTTCAGCTCAATAGAAAAAAAAAAAAATACAAATATATAAATTAATTGAGAATGTAAAACACTATTCAAGTAAACCGTTATCTATCCTAAAATATAGACCCATCACTGATCTTTCTACTGAGAGTTGTAAATCCCATTGTAAGTCATTTTTTTTCAGTTCATATTAAATAGATTTAAAATAATGTACGTCTATGCCTTAAAAGAGTATTAGCTTCCACCTTTTTCCGAAAAAGAGATGAAAAAAAAAAAAAATTCATATGAAGATGCAGGCGGAGGCTACGGAAAGGTCTAACTTTAGCTAAAATAAATGGAATTATATTATTTTTTTAAGCGTTACATCTACACTCTTAACTCTATGCTTTATCTGAAACAGCCTTTTCTTTTACACATCAATAAAGGGATTACGTTTGGGAATACCATCACTAAAAATCCCTTGGATGACAATGTACGCACCAGAAAGCCTAATTTGGTTGTAAATGTAGTGGCACTGTCAGCTATTTTCATTCTCATCATTGTGGTCGCTTTTGGACTACTGGTCTTTCGAAGACGGAGGCACAATAAACAATATAAGTGTCTTCCATTGTGTTTTCATCTGTTTGTCATCAAGCTCTTTGTCTACCGGGAATTTTATCCTCTTTACTTGTTTTTACATAATTGTCGCTTCCTTTATCCTTTACCCTTTACCCTGAGTGATCCACATTATAAACAAACCGTGAATAACTGCATGGCATAGCATCCCCATTACATGAACTTCCAATAACTACAGCAACTTATCCATTCTTGTGGTGTTCACTTTTTGACAATGCTTCGAAAAGAACACACTTACCTTTCCTTATTTTTTAATTTATTTATTTATTTATTTATTTTTTTTGTTTTCGTTTCTGTCAACACTAACACCGACAACAATGATGAAAATTAACCGGTGGCACGATCTTGTGGCATTACTATGACAATGACATATCAATAAGTAAGTTGAATCTAGATAAAGTGATCTATATTTAACCACATTTTTATTATTTTTGCTAATTAATGAATTTATTAGAAAAAATGTTCCATTTGCGGCTCAGGTCATATTTAGCGAACCACGGTACCGGAGCTATTCTATCATTTGTATTTAAGAGGTAAAATAAGCAACGCAACTTGATCAAATAGAGAGGGAATTGAAATGAATGTCACCTGTCCTCTAAAAATTAAGGAATAAACAGTTCTGAAGTTACAGATACCCACGGCAGTCATCTTTCCCTATCATGGCCTCCCTCAAAAAGTTAGGCTCTGATACAAGGTAGGGTCGGTTTAAATTGCTAAGCACTGAAAAAAGGAACAAAAAACATCCCAGTCAAACGCAAATTTGAAATTGTTTCATAAGCAATTTGCTACATAAAATTTGAGTGGGGCCTAATTTCTTCTGTCATGTAGATGACGTTTGGGCAAAGATCGTGCCATGTGCAGCTACGATAAGCCTTTGAGCGCCGCACAGACATCAGTCGACCCCGTGCTTGTTCAACAAAGACAGAGCCCCACTGAGGTTACCGTTAACCTAACCCTTTCACGAACGGAATCTGACCTGGCCACCCACGAGAAAGTGAGCGAATGCCAAAATGAGTGCAAATATGTTGACATTGATGACACTCATCGAAAGTCGAGGTCAGCATACGAGGAGTTTTTAGATGTTCAGGAACGAACACGAAATAACTCAATGGTGAGTGGGGAGAGAGGAATAAAGCAGCCACCTAGTTTTCATGATGAAAAAGGAGAAAACGAGGATCATGTTTACGCTGTAGTACACAAATAAAGAAAAGGCAGAGCCGGTTCTGAAGGAAGCGCCCTCAAAAAGCCTTCGGACCACCCTGAGAAAGGAACCAGTGGGTTATCTGTGAACCCGGCGTCCTGTATAGAGATCGAGGACTACACAAAGGCCGCCGTGAACGAGACACTCCAGGCTGGCAAGAACGCAGAACACTTGTATGAAGTTCTTGACAACACAAACAAGAAGGATCATGATTACGCTGTAGTTCACAAACAAAGAAATGGTAGAGTCTGTTCTGAAACTTGCGCCCTCAAAGAATCTCCGGGCCGTCCTCAGAAAGGAACTAGTGGGTTACCTGTGAACCGGGCGTCCTGTGTAGGGATCGAAGAGACACCTCAGGCTAGTGAGAAAGCAGAATACTTGTATGCAGTTGTTGACAAGAGAAACAAGAAGAAGAAAGCGCCACAGGTAATATATTTCACGAACTCTAGTAAGAATTATCTTCATGATTTCATGTTTCTATCTTCTTCAGCGCTGTTTGATTTAAGAAGCCAATACTGATATAGTTACTTCCTCAGTTCTCAATATATACAGTTGATAATCAAGCGTGCAGCTAAAGCACGGCAACTGAACAAATTTTTGAGTATCCTCTAAAAAAATGCTAACGTCTTACCAATCGAGTGTGAGGGCCGCACTGGGAATATTACCCCAATTATAAGTACGGACCATGCAGAAAAAAGAAAAATGAAAAAAAAACGTACAACAGAGGGCCACTACTTCTGAATACGGATCGAGAAAGTGATGTTGATGAATGGCTTATTATAAGGCACTCGAACCACACTGGTTTAAATTGAATTTTTCGGGTCTTCGTAACCGAAAAAACACGGCTAATTATCGTTACTGTGGAAACGGTCCGTGCAATGCATAGTAAACTACAGACCAAGTTACAACCAAATCAAAACGCTCACATTTAACTCAGGACTTCCTTGAGATATAATAAATGTGTACATAAAAACAAACAAAGAAAGAAACAATAAGAACAAAACAAGACAAAACAAAAAGCAAAAGGAAACAATTGAAAGCAGAATAAAATATAACCTTAACCAATAGCAAAATAGGACATGACTGACCAGGTGGAACCATTTGTCTGTTTGTTTGTTGTTTTCTTTCCTCACCGCTATGTTTCTACCATTATTCAGTGTCGCTGGTTTCACTAATTGCCTGTAAGATATCATTCACCTTATTCGTCTGATGTTTGATCCAGGTGCCCACTCCCTACCGTGGTCTTGTATACCCAGTTCTGGTCCATTCCCGAGGAAACAGTGCCTAGCTTGTCCAAGGACAGTCCGAAACATTATACTCCCACAATGATAACGTCAAGACAGCAAGCATGAAGATATCACGGCAGGGTCTAGAGGAACGAAGGAAAGGGAACATTAGTGAACTCTGTTTGTTTCCAATCCTAAACATGATTTAAATATAAACATAAAAAGTTAACTCAAAGCTTAAAGAAAATAATAACATATCATTGTTGTGGAGACAGTAAACTGTAATCATTTGTTTTGTAACTTCAAATACCGGACTATTTTGCTAGAAATAATTTTCAGTGAATTGTACCAAAATGGTTGTAACAACATCAACTGTTGTGTATCAGAATGCTCAGGATTATTCTCTTTAGGTGCATATAAAACGGAAAAAATCAGAATTACTTACTGATTGTAAGTAGTAATAAATCGGCGTTTCGCGCATAGGCCTACCGAAGGAAAAAGTTTTAAAGTTAAATGCACTTTGTACTTGGTGTTTGTTTTCATACAATAGGGAAGATTTCGTTCCACATAGAGTCGGTGTACCGAGTAAAGTTCAAAAATTTGTAAATATCCCGAATGTCTTTGTCCTTTTAAAAAGTAAGTCATACACTCTCGAGATCTGATGATATTGAATTAAACTACAGCGTCTAATTGTTATACCTGTTTTTGCGTCTGTATTACAAATACCACGTTTTGGTCTATCATAAAACCAAAAAACGCTGAATAAATGAACAATTTGATTTAAACAATGGGACACATTTTATAATATGATTAGAGCATTTGCTATACACATTCATCCTACTAATCAAAATGAAACAACTATCTAGCAGTAAATGTTGGATGGAAGGGTATTCCGGCAATCTTTTATTTGTTTAACATATATGAGATAAATAACAGTTAAAAGTTAAATCAATAAGCTTTGAAATTAAAATCCTTTAAACTTGACTATCCCTGTAAAGAACATTTAGCGACACCGGCTCGGCTAACACAGCGTTCAAACGTCAGGCATGCGTGAGGGAATCAATCCAGGCTGGACATGCGCCAATTTCCGGAGCCAAATATGAAAGGAAAACAACAGCTGTCCTGCAAAATGCAAAAGAAAATTAAAACGTTCATAGAATTGTGTAAGAGGAGACAAAAATAGGGACAAAAGAGTTGTACTCTTCTAAAACATCGTGACTTACGGGCTTGCGCAGTTGTTTTTAACTCTTGTGAGACAGTTTTGTTCTAACAGCCTGAAAGCATGCCATCTAATAATTACAAGGCCCCCACACGCGCAAATGTTTGACCTCTATGTTCACTCGGCTGGGCCTCGTGAGCCATTTTTTCTGTTCTCATCACATTTCGTCGTTCTTTGCGACCTATTACTAAACAGAGGCACGGCAACTTGCATTTCATTTATTAATCACATAGCCATAACTACAAAGTGTCCTGTTGCATCATGCACTGTATGATCGATTCCTTTCTAAAGAATTTTAATTTAAGACCAAAAAAGACGTGCAGAAACGTGTATCAATTTGTAGCGACAGCATATCGAGTTCTCAAGATAAGTATCGCTCGTACTCTTTTTATTTCTAGAAGAAGGGATAGAAATTGCATTGCGCGGGCTAGATGAAAAATTTCAAAGTTATCGGGAGTTGAAGTATGGCATTTCACGCTGTGCAATAGACTCACGACAGATTTGATATCAACGTTTCAACAATTTAAATCGTACATTTTAATAGCATCTTAAGCCAATATTCAGTTTTATTATTTGTCAATGCTGTGTTCTAAGTGGGTTTGCCGTTTTCCTTAACGGTTGGCCGGTAAACGCAGGTCTTATCGTTCTTTCGATAAAAAAATATCCTCCTGCGGTGAAACTGTGAAATAATCTAAGATAAAAATATGATTATAAGTTACTTTCTTCGATATGAAAGTCCACTAAGACCTTCTTATTGACTTTTAAAGCGTTTTGTACTTTGATAAACACTGCTCGGCAAGATAATTAACTTACTGACTTGCTTTCACATATATATCCTGGACTAGCATCATGATTTTTTGCTTTACACGGTATGCTGTTACACTTTCCCTAAGGCAGCATATCTAAGCATTTTCTGTGTTCTGATTTTTTGGTTCCCTTTACTGCAACGCCATGTTTCAGGTGACATCTCATTAACGCAGTCTATAGTTTTACTCAAACAGCACCACGTATGAGATGAGACCCCGGAACACTTCGACGCCGCTTTGTTTGAACGTATTTCTTGGTGAAGTTCTTGACGAAGTGCCATAGATGTCTTTTTTTTTTTTACAGTTTCCATGGAGACAAGAGAACTACTCTCTTCTTTGCACATTTTTTCATGGCCCTACTCCAGCACCCAGTTCTTCGTGGATAGAATACACGCAGCAGATCATAACTCCTGCTTTACAGGAAGCAAACCATTTTTTTTAATAGTAATCATCTATTATTCCAGAGCTAGAAGAAGCCACACAGAAAGAGAACTGAACATAACACTCAGACATACGAAAACTAAAACTTAATCATGTCAAGAGGTGCTCATGAAATCTAGAGGGAGACCATTTAGAACACTCTGATTTGTTTCTTCCCCGGAGTGCAGAAGGTCGAGGATTGGAGCCCCAACTGGACCAAAACTCAGGGTCTTTAAGAAAAAATGGAAAAAAAAAATAAAAACAAAAAAAAAAAAAGAAACGGAGGAGATTTTGCCATCTTCGCTTTGACATCTGCAAATGTTTAGACATTTTAGTCTTCTCGGATAACGACGAAAAACCACAGGTTCCATCCTCTGCATCATTTCTATGCTAAATAGCAGGCGACGTTAAAAAAACCTACGCACCTCTGAGTTGGGAACTTAGTTACCGGTGTTGTGGTCTGGCCTTGTCTCCGAGAAATCTTAAAATTAATGGCACCTGCAAAATTCCCTTTCAAAAAGTTGTTAACTGCTCAATACAGCCCGGTTTAAGTCTCCCGAAAAGGGTTGTAATGTATATTAATGTAGATTCATGCGAAGAATACGTCATACAAACTCACTATTATGTATCGTTTTTAGAGATGAGGGTGATAGCGCGGTTAAAAAACAATGGCTAGGTAGACGTTACTCCACTGCATACCGCTTTATGTTATATTTCATTATATTCCAAAATAATATGTTGCTTGCCATAAGCGGTGATTTCAAGTGAAGTATGAGACCCTGCAAATGACAAGAAAAGAAATGAGAAGGCATACAAACGTGGGTTAGAGTTGTTACGCATAAAAGGGATTTAAAGTTTTTTTTTTCTTTTTAAAAAAAGCGCTCGCGAATTGCCTAAAAGCGACGAACAAGGTACAAGGTGAAACTCACTGACCAATTCAAAATGGCTCCTTGAAACAGTAAACGTCACACGACCAAAAACACTACGAAACGCTGATTTGATGCAAATCGTTTTGTATGCTAACACCAAATAGACAGTGGGTTGTGAGTTAAGTTTTTGTTTAGGGAATGTGCTCAATTAGGTAATTAAACCTGTTTTTAGCCATGACGTCTGCGATACCGGTGCATTGATATAACAAATGAGCTAACAAGCCATCTGGTAGGTGGTCTAAAGCTGTTTCCTATAGTTCCTAATTAGGAATTAGTCAGGGCTCACACTAATTTGTTAATTCGCAGTTCACATAGATGATTTTAGTATATTTTCACAGTCATTGCTCCAGATTCTTGTTAGCCACTCGGTTCTTATAACTCTATTACTTTATATTTACAACTCGCTGTAATACTTAAGATATGCTCTAGTTCTGTGTCAAAATTTTGGTAGACGTAATACGGGCTAGAAATTAAAAAGAACTTTCGTCACGATGTGAGAAGATCTTTATTCGAGATGCTCCTGGCTTTTTTTTTCTTAAGAAACTTTTCATGCTTCTTATTGGATTATGAAAGAAGTTAGTAAGACTGTGTTAGGAAGTTATCACCGTACAACGCGTCAATTTAATCAAAGGCATACAAATGGCTCTTATTCCAGATCTGAATGCGCGGCTCAGTTGGACGGCGGTTTCCTATATCAGCGTGCGTGAAAGAGAGGCTCTCGGGTGAAGCACCTCTGAAGACAACTAGAAAAAGTATACTAGAAGTTTCAATGTGAAAGTCGGGGCTGGCGTCAGAACTTGAAGGAGATACTGATAATAAGAGCGATCAACGAGGGATCCACATTTTATCGAATAGCTAGCTTCAACGAGCGATCCACATTTTGAATCTATGATTGCAAGCTTTTCTTTCGCCTCAACGGGCAAATGTAACTCAATGGTAGAGTTATTTACCTCAATGGGCAGATATTTTGACTCAACGGTCATATTTAACGTTCCAAGGGGCGAAGAATAATGTGAATAATTTGCTTGTGTCGAAGTCGCTCTTGACATAAAGCTGGTTGGCTTAACACCTTCCTCTCTTTTCTCCCAAGACCAGCAAGCTGCAGTCGGCAGTTTTCTCCAAATGAAAGCATTTTTGCCTAACACTTCAGTGCTGCTGAATGCACTGAGAAAAAAAATGATCTCATGAAGTAGGACTTTATCGATACCTTGGCACCTCCATTCGCGAATCAGCAAAAATGGCTCACACAATAGAGCAGTCAAACACATAAATTTCTCTTGTCCTCGAGAGTCATCATAAAACCGTTCATGAGCTTTATGAATACTTCCACAAGCAATTATAATTAAAGACATCTATATCAAAAACTCACCTCGTTTATCGTGTCATCGATTTCTAGTAGAGCGGGACGGGCTGTATACAGCTAATGCTCGAAATCGACCAATATTTCTACATCCACTTTACGCGACGTCATCACAAGCATCCCGGATATAAAAAACGCAATCAACTGCTCAAGTCTCCAATCTTACATCCAACAAATTTTGGCTTTTTCTCGCTATTTTAAAGGGTAGGCTACTGCCTCACCAGGGCTGGCCAGGAATAAAAAGTTAAGACGTTGTGAAAGTTTTGGTAAAACATGATTAGATATTGTATAGCCATTGGTTGTTCGAGCTGAAGTTTCCGCTGTCAAACAAAAATCTTGTCCTGCATCCTGTAGGAATTATAAATAGCTATGAAAAAGGGGACTGAACAAACCCTCAGACACAAGAAAACTTTCAAATTCACAACGATGATACAAAACTGGATTGCGTAGACTAAACTGCGAATTTCCAGAGCAGGTTCACTTTGCAAAAGAGGTGGCATTCATTCTCCTGTCCCCTTCACATACAATGTTTGATGAGATAAGCGTGAATTTGAACTCTGTTTCAAAATTATCATAACGAGTATAGATTAAAAGGGATGTATCGGCATCCGCTCTCCTTAATATTTCCGATGACGTTTTTGTTACGTAGCGTTACGTCATCATTCTGAGACATGCGCGTTAGTTTGTTATTGGTAAACCCACGGTGCGTTTTCACAGCCCTGAAAAGCGTGAGTTGTTGTATGTTTTACATTTTTCTTCCTCTTTCTTTACCTACAGTTATATAAACTTGTCTAAACTACACGGTCTCCGCTTTTACAAGCGTAACTGTGATGAATCAGAGTAGGTTTGGCAATGATGTTACAATAATTTAAGAGTGTGAATCACTATGGTAAATCATATCATCGAGTTCTTCAAAAATGTTGTTTGGCAGTTTTAATAATTATGAACAAGAAATGTAAGCGCCCGATGA